GAACCAGGGGAATGTCGACCGCAGATTCTCCGGGAGTTTTTTTGCCGAACGACGCTTCCTGAGACCAAAATTTTATCGCTCATTTAGTAAATTGAATAGGCGAAGCGCTCCTCCATTGGCGATAAGTTCGGCTCTTATATATACCGTCAAATGACGGCAACGTATGGTCAACGACGGTATGTTTTGTTCAGTGAGTAAAAATCATACTGGGTTGTGAGTTAACTATAAAGATGTCGGAATTCTGATCGTCTTTTATATATTGACTTATATCCATTTTACAGGCAACTAAATCTATATTGTTATAAATAAGATGTAACTTTTGCATCCGGCCGTTTACCGGCTCCGAATATTTACTTCCGTAAGTTGCACTTTTATATTAAGTACATATATAAGCGTAATATGCTCGTGGAGCGTCTGTGCAGTGGCTTTGCATGCATATCTAATTATGAATGAAAGAGGTAACTAGGTGTTCCAGTACAACGGAGACAATACTCCTTGGACTACAACATTGCCGGCGAGCGATATTTCAGATGGCTATCCGAATCGCGTCGTAGACGATTGCCACTGGGTATATGGTTAACTCAATCTGCAGAAAGGATTATTCAATAAGTTTCTGTTATATGTACACACGGCATTTACTATTGAACCCAATAGGCAACAGGCGCAGTCTTTCTAAGCAAAAATATAATGATTTTATTATTTGGAAAAATATGCTCCTTCACAGTTTGTCTACGTAACGTAAAAGTGAAATGTGAAGAAAAACTTAAAATGAATAAAAGTAAAAAATATGAAGTTAATAATAAACATCAACAAGAGATAACATAACAGGTAACACTAAACAAAAAGTAAGCATCAACAAAATTCATTGACTCAACAAACAAGGTTCGTGACGTAGCCACATTCAGCGCTGAGTAAACTCAAAAATTATATAACAGGTACGGTAAACTACTTGGCCCTGCTTGTGGAAATCGTCGGCCTTATTCAGGTGCAGGAATATTTGATTGTGTATTGATCTATCATACAAGGGCGTTTACAGGCATCTTTCAAGCGGGCGATGTTCAGTGGGATCTGCGGCATATCTTGTCCAAATGGTACAGGGCCATGTCTCGCGTAATTTTTTATAACGAGAAGCATCCGTGCCGTCAGGAGCGTGGGTGAATCCAACGAGGCAAGTAAACTTACTATCTGTAAGCTATAGCAGCCCGTCACACGCGTCCACAATAACGACAAAAGAGGCATATTTTGAGAGAGTGCTCTGACAGATAACCCCTCGATATTTTATCGGGCTGTTACTACGTTCCATCAATGTAATCCTGTTTGGTAGCTGATCTATGGCATTCGTAGACGTACAGAAGGCCTATGTGGAACGATGGCAAAGCGTCACTTGCTCATGCGAGCGGAGAAGAACGTGCTCTCAATGAACTGACGCAGCATTACCAGTGTAAACATACGCAGGCAAAGCGTGGCCTTTGAAATACGGAATACCACGAGCAAAATTTGAACGTCGTTGCCAGTTAATCTTTGTCTAGGAGGCGCGCCCTGCCTCTGCTGCCTTGTTGTATCCGGCAACGGATTTATAAGCTAACATTATTAGGTTTTCAAGATGATCATGAAATTGAAGCTGTTACTAATGTGTAGTAGAGTAGGGCGCAATGCTGTTTAGGTAGTCTACGAGTAGTAGAAAGGTGTATCTTGTAGCCAAAACAGTAAGCCAATGTTTTAGTTGAACGCAGTCAACGTAATCATCAGAACTTTGTGCTCCCATTTACCTGAGCTTCAGACTGAGTGCTGCATACAATTTACGAACGAACGCCGACGGGGGCATATTTAGAAGCAGAACAGGAAGAAAAATTTTATTATCGAAGCAATCAAGAGGTGAGCGAAAGTAAGAACGATTTCTCTTCCTATGACCACACTGTCATACCGTAGTGCAGAAATTAATCGTGAAAAACACCTTGAGTAAAAAGCGTTCCATAGATTCGAAGGCTCGACAAAAGTCCTACATATGTAGACGTCACAACATAACGGGGCATTCTTTCAAAGCTCAAGTTTTTCCATAATGGGTATAATTGGCAATTTAAGTAGAGTGGTGTAACTAAATGTTCCTATAGTATTCAGAGTGAAATAACACTGTTGGCAATCCTTAATCTCATATAAAGGTTATAATTGCAAGGATCCTGCTTCGGTATTTTAAACGACTCATCGTTAAAAAGTCAATCTACTATGTATTTACAGATACCTCCGATTTTTGTGTGTTGTTATTATTATAGGTAGAGTGCGCTCGCCAAGATCTTTTTTATTAGATTTGCGTTATCGTAGCTATAGTATCACTGTAATAATATCGCCACAACTTGCTACAAAACGGTATACGAATAGCGTTTGCTAGAAACTGAAAAGTAAAAATCAGAGGCCAGAGTAGCCGCACAGCGTAGAGGACCAAAAAAAGGCTTCATATTAAGGTGTCATACAACACTGACATACAGACAAGTAGCATATTTGGGCTTCATTTAAGGTTACCAGCCAATGCAACAATACAGAGTAGGAATTTTCATTCAAAAATTGTCCGGATTCCAATAGCTCTATCTAATTCTTTAATCCGGAATCGAAGTTTGTGGTCCGTCGTCCTATTTGCAGCCTGAGTTATATATTATACAGATGGCCCAATCAGTCTAATGACTGCCGTTTCGAGTGACATATGGCATTTTCTATTAGTCGAAATTCAATACGAATATTGGTACTACCCGTCAGCAGTACTAGCAACACGAGGCCAATTCTGTTTGATATGTCCTGCAATGTTTGCTATTTATACACAGGCAGATATATTGTATCAGGTCAAAATCATTGTAAAGGGCCCGCTATGCTTGGACACGCGATTTGGCGCCGTTGACAGCAGTGCAGCAGAAACCGACATGGCGCAACGCCGTTGACAGAGCTTGCTGTCGACTCCTGAAGCTGTTACAGTTTTTCTGGTCGTATTCATGCCCCACCTCGCATCCTACGGCTTGACATTGCAGTGCTGTCGCTGATTAACAGCGAGCCCTGATGGCGATTCTCTAATCCACAAAAAGTAAAAACAGAGACCGTGGAAATAGCATTTCTCACTGGACGTCCGGTCGGCAACACCCGGCCTATGGATAGCGCTGACCAGCTTTTCGTTCTGGCCGGTTGTCTGAACAATGCTGAACACTCATTTTCCTCATAAGACAATGTATAAATACTGCTACATGGGCGCATCTTATAGCCGCCTGCATTATACGAAAGTGTATCTGTCGTTTTCTGTAAACAAAGGGTATTATCGCTACCGCAAACAAGTGCTAATGTTGTTCACCCTGTTAGCTCAATTGCTATGCTATAGTGACTGACATCATCGATAGCAGTCCTGCTGTTTTTACTACGAAGGCTATAAAAGAGGAACGTGTTGTTCCGAGCGGCGGGCGCTAAGAGCCGTAGCACATGATTTTCACCGTTACTGCAACGTAGCGGTGTAAGATAATCCCTGATACTGTAAGCGATTATTATTATCATTAGATCGGTACTCGGTAACGAAATTCGGCCGAAACGTGTAAATCTCAAGAGTTTCAGGTTTAAAGTATATCCCGACCGAACCGCGAGGGCAACGAGTAGGGTGATCTAATAACCTACCTAGTATAGGCAGCGTATCCACATGTTTTTGTATGCACAATCAATATGACAAATACCAAAATGAATAGAAAATAGAGTGCTTAAGTAACCCTTGCCTTACTATTAAAAATATCATATGTAAATACATATTGGTACGGCAGTAGGTATTCGAAGCGCTTACTTTACTGTTTGTATCTGTTCCGATACGCTGACTGAGATCTATTATATGATAGTTCCGTATTTTGCGGAACGTAGCTGATCGGGCCGGTGTTGTCTTTGTAAGACATGGCAGTTAAGTAACAGAAAATAAACTTAGAAGCATTTCCCTGACGATGAACAAACAGCCTGTGGTGTTTTTTAGTTTACTATAATATTGTTGAGCAACCCATTTTATGTACAACATATATTTATCGAGAGCGTTCTATAGGCATGACGCCAATAATAATTATAATACGGGTAATGAATAGTATAAGCTAACGTTATAATCTTCGATCAGTTTCGAATCTCCAAGTTTTAATAAATTTACTGAGTTATATTCAGGATCGAACATTTAATAGTATTAACGGTTCGACTCCGCACGACAAATGCACGTATAACAAAATATTTACTATCCGAAAAGGGGCGGCACAGGATCTATTGTCCATACTGCAGGAGTATAAGCTTAATGTGCTCAACAATTGTGAGGCACCACTACAATAGGTAGCCTGCTTATAGGCAACAAACTCGAGTAACAACAGTCGGCAGTTAGTTACTCAAATAAATTGATACTCAGAGGACCGATATCGAGGAGTTTTTAGGCCAGTTCGGTTACTGTTTGTTCATTATGAACGCCTTCTTCCAGTTACCATCTTTTAAGGGTTATACAAGTAAGAACAATTGATAGTACTAGTAGTGCAAACCAGTACTGAACAAGCTCTCTATTTTCGTCTACGTAAACGACCCCGTCGATCCGAGACCCAATCCGCACTCCCGGATCGATTAGTAGGTTCCACATACATAATACACGACATGCTAAACCATCTTTCATTAAAGCTACATCGTCTAGAAGGTGACGCGGCTCTATGTAAAAGCGCAGTTATATTATATAACATCGCAGGCAGGCTCCGCGTCACGCACGCTGCATAGTGATATGTACAGTCAGGCAAAATATTCTGGTCTAATCAGCTCAACACGTCAAACTATTTTTCCGACAGGAGCAAAGCAACGGTACCGAATCTTGGTCCTATTACCCCAACCTTAATAAGGCTTCGGCTAGAAGACGATATTCGACGACAGTGTGCTACAGGATGATTGGTGGAATAGTTCCGGAACGTGAGTGTTAGTTAGAAGCACTACGGGAAGCCTAGAGAATGCTTCGTGAACAACAACTATAGTAAGTGGTGCGCTCGATACTCATACATTTGGCAGGAAATCATCATAGGCCATACCTCTCGAAGTCAAATACCGTAACATACTGCATTCGATTAGATATCACCATCGAAGGGGGCGAACACTCACTTGCCAATTACGTAGAGTCCGTGCCTGTACACCGAAACTATGTCGAGAAACGGGATCCTTGATTGCAGATCGTTGATGTAAAATCAATTTTGCGCCATACTTGCTCATCCTTCACCTATAAATGAACCCTGACTATGTGAAGGGAATATGTTATCTTCTTCCTATTATAGTTACTCCATGTTCGTTAACTAGCCGAATCCTTTCTATTGGTCCTTGCCCGCTTTTAGTTTGTTCATTTCTTTGATAAGTTTGCTTAAACATTTCGACTGACATTGGCAGCAAGCAATAAAAGCCAGCAAGAGCGTGCGACGCAATACCCTTTGAAAATGTTGTATCGAACAAGTGGCAATAATAACGTCTGATGGAAGGACCACGAGAATATAGTCAGGAGTTCTACGTCATCATTGACTCTGCCGTTAACGTTCGTAACAGGAACAACGTCAGTAGCAGCTTAGCAGCGCGTCTTTGTATGGACGACCTTGACAACTTAATGGCATCGGTTTCGCAGCACCAACCAATCATCGCCAAATAGACAAGCTCTACTACTGGCAGTGTATTTCCTACAAGCCGGCGCTGTTTCCGGCAACGAAACCGACCTGTCCGTTTGCCAAATAAAATCCTACTCGAAACTAAATTCGTCTCGGCGGCTTCCAATCAGAATGAAACAAAAGGGCTGGTTGGGAACCTAGCAAGCAGTTACGTGATCGCTTCGCTGTGTCAGTGCCGTGCAGCCGGGAGCCAACGAGCGTGTCGGCTCATTGAACTAATACTCAAACCGCTTATCAATCACTGAATGTGTCCTGAGCGGTCCATTGGTTCTTTATTAAGGCTTCCGTATTGTATATTCCATTACTAAAGGCTCCAATGCCTGCTCGCGGTGACGCATGCTGAAGGCGGTCAAGCTCAATGAAAAGCCCCAGGTCCACCTTATTGTATATTTCTAGGATGGAGATCTATACAACATGTATCAACCGTGGTACTTGTTCCTAATGGAAACCGATTTTGCAATAGACGAAAGCGATCTCAAGAGCGAATAGTACGTCGTTCTACAAAAACTCTTCGTGAACAATCTCCTTCTTCGCAGCGTACCCGCTCTGCGGAAGTCAGCTTAATTTTGACACGTTCCATTTGGGCTTGATGCCGGTCATTCGATAGCATCTAGTTGTAAATGTACCAAACAAACTCTACAGGTACGTTTACTTTTATAAGGGCTAGAAGGAGTTCAACCTTTAGTTCCGGTATAGCTACCAAGATGCGATATTGTCCCTGAATTTTTTTTCCCTGCGCTAATAAACGTTTTCAGCACCAGGAACTAAGTAACTGCCTTCTGATTCCACAAAGAAAAATCCATGGGGTTAGGTCCAGTTGCAGGGCCAGGCTTTTCCACCTTTCCTCATAGGATCTGCATGAGCTGAACAAATTACCTGAATTACCTTAGAACAAAAGCAAAGTAAAAGCATTATGTCTAAAGTTAAAAGCTGCCAAGCCAACCCTTTTCTCTTTGGGCTCGAAGAAAGCGGCGCCTGTGAAGTAGTACCGGTCAAGCTGCAACGCGACATTTTCCTATAGCCCTCAAGTGCCTTCGTACCTATAAGTTTGATCTGAAACGAAGGTACTAAGTCAGATTGCAGCATACAACTGTAATGGCCTAATCTCGTCTCCGAACCGACTGAACCCTTCTTGGATCTGGGAGAAGTAGAGTACAATATAACGATTTACAGGGTCCACAACAAACAGTGTCGAACCAAGGCAACGCAGTATTTCTGTGCTTCGCTCCAACGAAAGGAAAAGACACTGAAGAAGACCAAGGTACTTGGACAAGATGTCAATGACAAATGTTGCTTGATGCAATCTTCTCTTCTCTGCCATGAGGATGTATTCCTTTGACTGAAACCATTTTTCAAATTAAAAACTAGATCTATTAGCAGCTGCAATCGCATTCAACCATGTAGATCACAAAACAACTTAAGGTTAGCACAAAGTACGCATGGCAATTTTGCTTGGTATGAAATGCTCCTTTATATGATTTTACAAGACAAGCCGACCGGTATTCCGTTACTTTTCACTGCAGTGAAATATATTCTATATTTATCATAGATTTATAAACGTGCCTCAACAGTAGCACGTGGTATTTGAGTGCACAGCTCCGGTACGTAATGTCATCAGGATTGATACGTGAGGTCGCTGTTCGCGCATCCGTTGTAAGCATTTCCGAGCTTAATTTTTAAATCTCATTTGTCTTTTTTTTTTTGTTTTTACTACAGAATAAGCAAAAGGACGAGCAAATAAGCGTTAGAATATAGCTGTCGTATGACCTTTTTGTTGCGTCGATGCCATGCTGCATTTCAGTTATAGCACCTATGCCTGTATGTTACAGCCAACATGACTGGGCAGATCTCTGCTGCGTCTGTTATGGATCTAACGTTCTGTGTTTTCGAGTGCTCAGTAAATGCCGCACGCCCCTTTTATTGCCCTTCACTTGGTCGAGAGCTCGGCTTTGTTTATAATAAACAGATACTTAAACATACTACACTTAAACTTCTTATAGTGCTGTCATTATAGGCCGCTTACCGAGAGAATTTCAATAACTTCGAATAAAAATTGTTGCTGGTGCTGATGTTGAAGCCAGTCAGACAGACGGGATCAACACAGAAAACGTGCTCACGGCTTCTCAGGAGGTTAGTGCTTCGATTATAGGTTGGACCGTACATATTACGATGCCTGGCGCATATAGAAATGAACATAATGTCGGATAATATCGAAGGGGAATGCACAGAGATCACGCAGAGGTAAATGTTGATAGCACTCGCACGTAATCTGGAAAGATAAATGAAAGGTCTTTTGGTGTTGATTTGTTTTGATCAACTGTGATATACGCTGCGCAAAATGGCAGAGGAAATAGTTTTACTATCTGAATAGCTTCCTCCACTTTAGGCTCAGCAACCTTATTCCAACTAAAGCAATCTCCATGAACTTTAGGCCTTAAAGTCGTTCTATTCTAGTAACGTTACTCCCAACAGTGAATTTAGTTCTATTCAAATATTATATGTAACTCATATAACGTAGCTTATACTAGCTGACGTGGCCAAATACTAGGCTTATAACGTTTGCCGTTCGTTATTCCTAAACAGGCGTTTCAACAAGCAAGTAACCGTTCTCCCCGGTGCACGCGATGCTGGCCAATCTTTTCGCTAGCCTATCGCCAGTTGTCTTCAGTAGCGTGGCGCCAACATCAACGCTGCGGAGAAACGTTCGACTGTTGTAATCTGCTACGGTGACGCTAGTATAGATATTTACGTTTACCGACCTGAACGAGACGAAAAGAAGACTGCCACTCATCAAAACGTAATGTAAAAGCGTTTGCTGCAGAAATAATAGCAACTGCTATCGAACGGTCAGATGATTGTGGGTTCATCATCAGCACTTGGTTCATGGCCACTTCGGTTGGCTTATGCGTACGGCGACTAGGAAACTAGGAAGCTTTCGAGAGTACTGAATAATTATAGGTTTATGTTTATCTTCCTCAAGTCATCCATTTGGTCGCCTGTCACGCTGTGGCGTGCGTGGCAGCTGCAATTAAGCCATCTCTTTCTATATCGTCAGCGTTCAGCGTCTATTTGTTCTCAAGTCGATCCAACGAGCTGCTCTTTTCTTACCTAGATTAAATCTTCTGCTGTTCTAAGCAGAGTCACGAAACGATACATATCCTGCGTGCTTCGAAACAGGCGGCATTCTGCTTGTAAAAGTGCCATTGATATAATGGTGTAGCATAGGCACGCTAGAATAAAACCCGTCTGCTGACACAACAATTTAACTCAGGTTTTTGAAAGGCTAGCAAAGTTTTGCGCTTTTCTGAACGTATATTAAATAACATTAGCAATAATAATAATAATAAACCGGTATCTTTTTCAGCTCACGTAATCCGTTGCACGTCCCTTGTTCAGCTCGAGGCTATGTCGATTCTACTGTGACTATCCATCTTATTTAAGTAACAAACGAAGATTTATTGTGCGAGTAATCTGACCACCGCGTGTACAGGCGTCGTTCTAGATCCATACAATGCCAGCGCATGTGAATTCAAGCATTAGACATGCAGATATGCCTAACGATATGTAGCCGTTTAGCAAAAAGAAACAACACATGGGAAACATGTACGCGATACGCAGTTCTACCCAACACCATAAAAACAGAACGACAAACAGGAGCACCACATCGTAGGCTTCGATTTGGCGTCAACTATAAATAACCGGCGTTACTATTTTTGTTCATGATAAAAGCCACTCCCTCAAACTCGGAACTCTAGCAGCTGGGTCACAAAGGCAGCTTTAAGCGTAAAACCAGTAGAAAGCACCGGATTCAGCCAGTCTATTTTTGTTAGCTTCCGTAGAGGCATCATACAGCAGTCCCTGGTCAGAAACGAGGCAGTTTCTGGTTGAACTTATCTTTTCTATCAAACGTTGCTTCCGTATGTATTTTTTTGCAGACCAAACATACTTATTTGTGTTATCAAATTCACTATGCGAAGACGGTTAGCAAATATTGCCAACTAATACCTTGACTTGTTACGCATACACCACAGGAGACGAACCGCTATTGGCAATTTACAGATACACTTATGGAGAAATTACGAGAGATCCGCGTGCGTATCATGCCGACTACAGGCGATAAACGAAGACGCTCTACCGTTCTTACCGAGCTGATGTAAGCTTATTAATAGTAGTATAAAAATGAGGTCAGCTTCGGAGAAAATTGGATTTCAACTCTCCTCAGACGTGAGTTGGAGATGCGGACAGATTCGCATGGTCACGTAACGGTTTGTTAATCTGATGGGTCATACCTCAGTGGCTAATAAATTATATACAAGAGAAGCAAGCTCGTAAGAAAAGTCACAGAGCTAGCGATCTAAACCAATACTTTACCAGTTTCTGAGGGGCACATCTGGAGGTTGCGTGTTAAAGTTCTACAGCGGTGACGACATGACCTCTAACTAGTTGAAGTTTTGTTAGCTAACTTGAAGTTGTGTAAATTCTCGAATTCGAATAAATGCATCTGTTTCGTGCTGCTGAATATCAGAATATTTTGTAATAGTGCTAATGCAGGTGTTGAACTGTAAAGCTTGGAGGGACCGCGGGAAAGATTCGAGCGATGTCCAGAGTAAGCCAAGTCTCTGAAGCAATATCGAAGGACAACTCAAAGATCTGTCTGCGAAATAAAAAAGGATTAATGTAAGTATGCGTAGCGCAAATAGGATACAGTAACCCCAGTACCTCGTAACTCACTCTAGACACGAATATATACATATATATAAGTTAGGTACGCATTATTTTCCGCGATCGAAGAAACACGGTTATGTGTGACAGAAATGTATGCCATCGTAAAACACTATACAGGGTTTATTATAAACTCTGTGATAAGGATAATTTCAGTACGGGCGCTTTGATCGTCTACGCGTAGGCCACTCAGCTGACTCGCTGAACTTAAAGTAACGGCATGCATGTGATCTGTTGCAGAAAAATTGTGGAGTCTTCATAGCGTGGCTAGCAGTACGTGGCTGATGGCAGCTCGGTGCCTTGATTTTGAGTCTTGCTCGTTGCAGAACAATAGTGCATATATAAATAATTTTTATTTGTTATTATAATAATAATTATTATTATATATTGTATTATAATCTTTATCCTGCTAGACAAAGTTCCGCGTCAAGAGAGTTGATTAAATTTGGCGTAATCCGAATTATTCTGTACTCTAAATATTCGCGTACTCGATGACGTGTAGGGTCTCATTTGATGCTCGTAAACGGTGCAATGATACGTATCGCTAAGTCAACGTTGTTTCCTTTCCTTCCGATCTTCGAAACCTTTTCCGATCGAAGCATAAAACTGTTATATGAAAAAATTAATTTTTAACTACTTTACTTGCTTAATTTTTCCTCAGAATTATATAAAACTTTCAACTAGCTTAATTTACAATAACGTTTATTCCAACTAGACAAGGATCATCGATTGTTTTGCCAACGGTGGTTTTTCGCAAATAAAAACGGTTTGACAACTGTGAAACAGTTTCGAAGCGACGCTACTACAGTTATCAGCTATAATGACAAACCTTGTCACACAACGTACATTGGTTGAGGGTGCTGCTGGCGTGTTCCTGGACGTGTCCACCAATGTGAATTAATGAACAAAAAATTAAGGTCACAGCAAACTGCGTTAATAGGCATTGTATCGGAAATCAATAAAAGCATTGTACAAAACAACACTAACGGCTGTAATGAAATATATATATATACGTATATGAATATATACAGTACCCGGTTGTACGGTACACATTCATAAACTAAACAACTTTTCTATAACGCATAAGTAGTTCTATAAGTCTATTTCTAGAGGGCTTACGCGATAATACTGGCGCTTCCAACAACAGTCGTGTTAGCGCTACAGAGTCGCTTCTCAAGCTGAGTTTGGCCCTGGTATTAGCAGCTGGCTACGACGGCTCTAAAGCGTAACTGCCTGGTGTCGTTGGAAATAGGTCACACCGCCCGGGGCAAATAAAAGAAGCTTGCTAGACCTACAGTTGCAACTGTTTCGTTTTACGGTTGTTAAGGAACTTGACCGCTGGGGCATTCAGCAAGCTAACTTGTAGGATTGTCGCTATGAACAGATCATGGTAGTGGGGCACTGCGCAAAATCTCACGAGATTACAACATGTGTTATTGCCTACAAACACAGAATTTATTTCAGGGCAAATAACGTTTTTAATGAGCATGTGCCTTCAGCAATATTTAAGCCGTGATCAGCTTAGCAGTTGTTAGTAGTAGAAACAATTCGATAGTGTTGGCAGCTTCAATGCAGAACCTTATCCGTTGCCGCACATAATTCGTGGTATTATATAAATAGAAAATGTTCATATTATTTTAAACGTTGACGATTTATGAAATCGACTTGTTACTTACCGAAAATACGAAAACTGTGCTATAGCCATCCGCATCGTGTTGTTTTGCAGTAATAGGGAAACACCTAACATTGGATTTAATTAAACCCATGCGTGGCCATCTTGCAATGCGCAGTACAATTGAACGTTATGTCGTCAAACATAGGTTCAAATTTTAGGCTTACGATGCTGCTTCGTCGATGCCACTTTTTCTGTCAACTGAACTAGCAGGTGTTCAATGAATTCCGCGACAGCGAAAAAAGCATTACTCTTATACTATGCGCAGATATTCTTGAGTATCCGGAGCCCCTTCGGCTCTGCACTGGTGCCAACACTAACCCAAAGTAGGGCATCATAGAATAGTTCCTATAGAGACGCCAAATACGCGTATCTAAAGCTGATCCTCTGACCAGCACGAGTGAAAATTAACGGTGTCTACCTTCGGATGTCTTTGAGAACTCGATCTCCTACGAGCGTCAGCAGCGGGAATGGTGTCGAGGCTCTGAAGCGGTAACTTCAACTCGGCTAAATAGACCTAGACATTTCCTGAACGGACCAGGGTGTCATAACGCTGCTGTCGTTGGCACAACGAAATTGCCCATGGCCCTCTTATATTCCAGGTCTTTCTATTTGCTACTGCGGTAAATTTTGTTACCCCGGCTTCTATTATTTCCTATAGTGTTGAGTAATAATGCAACATGTGTCTTCATTATCATGTCTGCTACCCGCCAAGCTTTCCAGGGGTAGATGTTAGCGACGGCGATTTACAGTCGGTGACGTCGAACGTGGAGGCGTCAATTACTATCCAACGGCTTCCCAACCGCTGCCTAATTTCGAAACAGCCTTAACAGTGGCCTCTGGCCTATTCCAATAGCTTTGTGGACACAGCGGGATTAACCGGCTGATTAAAAAACTCCATTATTAATTATAGTTGGTATTTGGCATCCTCCACCGTAGGGCAGATAATTTAAATAAGCAATGCACACGTCTGCCAGCGGCATAAATTCGAACCCGGGGTTAAAATTATTGTCTCTAAGGAACTGAACAACATAGACGGTTAAATAGCGGGGTAGAACCCGCTGTAAAACATACTTTGAGCATTTCTGTACCCTTTAGTCCTAGACTCCAAGGCAGAGAACTTTGAGGTAACCTTAAAGTGTGTGCACCTTTATATACCTGTATATGTGACAAGCGGTCTTGGTACGAAAGTCACATGGTGAATCACGCTACGAATTAAATATAGCTATATTGTGTTCCGATTCGATGCCCGTCAGCCAGCTTGTGGGCTTGCTGTACCAAAACGAAAAAAACCGCCTTTCCCACTCATTTTTAACAGTAATAAATAGCATCATAATTTAACCACTTGTCGATGAGGCAGCTTTAGTTACTATAGCTTTGCTATTGTCTAAGTTGTACCACGGGCAACGTGAGGTCCCAAAAGAGATTTAGGCTTACTACAAGGATAACTGATTTTTAATAACAAAACGTGTAAGTTTAAATGTACAGGCTCATTTTCTAGCCAGCATATTCACGGAAGTTAAAACATCATCACACGAAGCGCTCTTCTATTATGGCTGCTAGTATTACTGCTCATATTCTATAGGTGATGTTGTGTTTACAAAAAAGCGTCATTATCAAATGTCACAGCGGGATAGATATATGTCATTTAGCATTAATCAGATACTAATTCAAGCCAATGTAATACGGTTTTCAATTCAGCTGAATAAATTTGTCAGCTTCGAGCAGCAGCAACGTCGATCTGGACGTGTTCCAGCAAATACGTTACGTTGCTTCTTCATTTTATATCAGACCATAAAAGGCTTTGTAGAAATGATGATGTGTCCCGATGCTTGCAAAAGCTGTTTCTAAGCTGTCTCATTCATTGCACTATGGTTACTAAGACCATATGATGTGTTTGATTAGCACAACTTACTATGCATTTTAAACGTTCGCGCGCTTTCTATCGCTGCTATCTGTTTTCAACCTTGTGCTTTCCTTCGAACCTTTGATAGGATAGAAACGAGAAGGATTTTTTTTCCTGGTATCCTGAGCTCACATTTGCCGCATAACTGCCATTCTTTGGACGGTAATAGTCTCTTGATATTTATGCTGTCCTATTTACTTCACGTTTAAATCACCTAACTTAGAGTGATACATTAGGTTCAGTGTGAAAGGTTCGCTCCGCGTTATTCTCTCTCAAAATAATATGAGACTAGAAATAAATCAGAAAGCGAACGACACGTTTGAACGGGCTGTAACAGTGTAAAAGCCAAGAGGAACTATAATTAATAATAATTTTAAACGTACGCAAAATCATTTTTATACCAGCTACTTTGCAGGTTTAACGGCCTTGCGTGTAGGGGATCGTTGACCTCCAAGTGCACTTTTCAAATAGACGGCGCTATGTTCCATAGTCAGCAAAACAACAAATATTAATCATTTTATTATTTCTACAATTCAATAGCTGCTTTTCGCATTTTACATCTCGTACCTGCTGAGCAGTTAGACGTTACTTCAGGCAGTAATTGGTTTGTTATGATAAAAAATTCGCATTTGTGTGTGTTTAACCCTGAGAGGTATAAACTCTAGGGCAGAATGACAGGGAGTAGGCATATCTCTTTCATAAGCATCCTATTCTGACTGTTAAGCGAGTATCATGAACACGTTTTGGTGTTTCGCACATGTTAACACATCCGTTATATCCTCCTCTGGTACATTTCTGTATTTGCAAAGGGTAACCAGCTGTGCTACTATCACTGGAACTATAACCGAATAACTATCTGTCATACATACATGCTGCGTACTACTGAAATTTTTGCATTTTCATACACGTCTTTGTACCAGCGCGGACTCCTTTTTAGCTGCGCTCAGCCAGCTCAAGGTCTTCCGTGTGTGTCGTGCAACGTTTTTTATCCCACTGGTGGTACAGTTCCGTTTGCACTAAACGCGAAGGATAATCGGTAATGAAGACAAAAGCAGGTGTCTAAGCATGTCCGATCATACGATTGTCCATATCCACAACCCCAGCGGATCGGGCTGCAGCAACCCAGAACAACTGTTTGATCGATTTTTATCCCAGAGAGATACATACCACTGCTGGAAAGAAGCTTTATAAAAACTGCCATACAGCTCCTTTTTTTTTTTTACCGCAGTGGCAAATCTAATAACGACAGAGTCAATCCACCTGAGCAGGAGCTGGTTATATCGCCAAAACTTCTAGCCTTGTTTCTAATCTGATTTTAGCTAGCTTTATTCTGGGTCGGCGCTCTTGTACGCCGACCCAGAATAAAGCTACTACGCCGTTGAGACAAGGTGGTTAAGGTCTGCTCGTGATGCAGATACAATAGGACATTCAGATTTTACCAAACATATACACATGTATTATCTGCTGCTCATCTTGAACTGCTCCAGCCTGGCCATACTTTACGTTGGCCCCTACAATTTATGCTAAATTATCAACAATCGTCGTATAACAGAGGGGATAAAAAGCGTGGGAGAAAATGCAAACAGCGAATCGACTGCCGCTTTAGGCCATTCAACTCAGACAAATATCGCTTTAAATCATCGCCGTGCCAATAACCGAAAAATGTTTACCTTATGCTATTTTTTGCACTCAGAACTGGGGAGAGTGCCGTTTTAGACTGCGCCTGCGCTAGCAGACGAAAACACTTTGCTACCTGGCCATCTTATTGCACGTGGCGTACATTACCAATTGATACAATTTGATGTGCTTACTTAAAAGTCATTTTATGTAAAACTGCTGTTCATAATCTCTACATGTACCATGAGCACCAACGAAGTAATATATTTGAGGGAAGAGCTTGAAGCCGTCGCTGTCACAGTGTCATAGGTATTTCTACTTTCAGATATCATTGCTTCTCGTTTGGTACAAACATATTAGAGATTCGCTTCTGTGCTTCTTAAATATGTTAAATGGGCGTTGATGCAGCTATAGAGAAAACGGTAGGTTAAAACCAAATCCCTAAAGATAGCTTGAGTAGAAACATTAGTATATTGCCCATATGTAACACAAATCGTTCCAGAAACAGTGACTGTTTATGAGATGTAAGATAAACAGAGGAATAAAAGGTGAACGAAAGATGACTGTAAATAGAGTTTCTATCGTACAACTATGCTGGAACTGACATTTTCCCACAGTTGCCGATCTCTTTATAATTTGTATACCCAGCTAAATACATTTTGATAAAATACAACGATCAAAATCTATCTGAATTAAACTGAAATAGCAATGATGCCAGTTTGTTTCAGGTATTCACTATAAGATTATGCGTTATAAATGATTATTGGGGCTCGACTTTATTTGAAGGCCCAGTAAATGCGTAAATGAGTATAGTTAGTGAAACGTAGCAACTAAAGTTCGGCTGAACGGCATTTGTAATCTTTTTCCCTATTTCAAGTGACTCTGCTCAAACATAATAATCTCTACAGGAGATGGTTCAAGGACGTCGTGAGGGGCTCGATTCACATCCAGGACAATTGTAAAAAACAAACGACGACACACCGTTACTGAGTAATTTCACCGGATTTCAGACGATCGTTGTAGAACGCAATCTTGAATACATAACGAAAATATGGTAACGAAGTCTTCACTAGAATAAAGGTTTTTGTTACAAGCTACTGCAATTTACTGTTGTATAGTAAAGGGGGTCGTATATGCAATAATGATTGAGTACAAGCGAATCGTTATAGTGCTAGGAATAATAAACGAGACGAATTTTTACTAGAAGATATATGAAAACGCTTCCACTAAAACGAAACTTAAGGACTGGTACAATGGAATTGATATTATAAACAGATAGTTCCGTGTATAAGCGGACGTTTACGTTGGAGCATTCACAACAAATAGTTGTACTCCCAATAGGTGGTGAGGCTGTATATCTAACAAGCCGGAAGAAGATTTCGTGTATGTTCATAGGAAAAGGGGAAAGCGTCGATTATGGAATAAATTTATAGTAAGAATCATAATAGCACGAGAACGTTTATAGCTACAAATTTAACTTCTCTAGGAGCGCTTCCCTTATGCAAATCAGTAGCGCTTTATTACCCTTTTACATTGATCCTACGGTCTTTTCACATAATCGCGCCAACATTGTGTTTCGCGCTTGGTACACAGGCGTTTTTTAACGTTTTCTATTTGCGATTTCACAGTAGCCGTGATGACTTTATGGAACGTAGGCACAGTTGTACCCCTCTACTTTACAGCTTAAACAGTAGTGGCCCCTAAGACAAGTTTTTTCCTGTATAGTTGAAGTGGCTACCTGGAGAAGTTCACTACTTTGTACACACAACAACAATAATATGACGCTGTCAAATGAGCGGTAAAATAATGTCGTTGAAATCATCGGAACAACAAAACGTGAACAAATTATGTCCAATAAAAATGTCCGAAGACAGAGATTAACATACCGTTGCACTCGGAGTATCCCCACGTCTGATGCATCTTGGTTCCGTTGTTGTTGTGTTAGCGCTGCCTGACAGCACACGACAACGGCGATGACGGCTTTTTATTTTCGAACAAGTCTTGACTCAGCTCATTGAAACCGATCAGAAACAACTCCTGATCCTAATCAGTCACAAAGCACACTGGAAGAACTGTTGATCTACATCGATAACCCGACTAAACCTGTAGATCTAACGAGTAGTGAAAAGTCACCTAATCACGGTCCACAATGTCTGAGAAAGCACAGTTATTGCTGAGAATGTATCTCTATATAGACATATGTACCTTTATTAATTTATATATATAAGTTACCGCTGTACTAACTGTTGTTTCTTACTTTACAGACAAACACTGTACTGTAAATGCTTAGAAGTACGAAAACAAGGCTTGATCCTTGTTTGTTACGTTCCTTTTTATCTTCTGAGGTAGAATGGATGATACCGTCTGAAAAGGATTCGAAAAAAGCGCATAGCAAGGAATCGAGGCGGAGATCCGAAGTATCCGAGATCCCGATATGAGGAGGTAGTTATGAATTAGAATGCCGGTAGTCTAGTTGCTGTGGACAAGGGCCCCGAAACTATTGTCCCACCATGTAATAGCAGCTCATGCGTGTCTGTATTAGTAGAACGGCTCGATTCTAGTTGTTACTAACCGTTATCGTTGCAGCTTTTAGATACTGGTTTGCTTGTATGGCTACTGTCAGACGCTGTCCTCTTGCCGGCTTAACAGCAAGGCACACAATGAGCAGAACAGCAAGGCGCGCGAACGAGCACACGTCGCGCGAGCTGCTTGAGTTCAATGTCACTCACCAAGGTGGCGTACCAATTGCTGAACGCCTCCCTTCCTCTCTCAGTTCCGTTGTTTTTGTTGGTATTCTATATGCGCCAAACAGACGTGCCTTCTCCTTCCAGAAGAGTCATATGGGTCATGTGCAAGCAGTAACGGTGAGTAAGTGATCTGTCGCTGTTCCGGTTATTTGTTTGCCGTTGGTTCCGAGCAGGCCTGCCTTCTAATTGGTTGCTCTCTTATAATGTTGCTATCTCTGCTTGCGTGTTGTTGTTCAATGCGTATGGCGCGTTAGTATCTGTACGGACATCCAGCGACGGCGGTCAGGTCTTTTGCTTTGGCAGTGAGTATGGCGCTGGCGGTTTTCCCCTCTCAGGCCGCTAGCCGCTGGCGGCGTTAGTATGCGACGGTGGAAATGGTGGCTTCGTTTGCTCTTGCAGCAGAATGCCCTTCTTGCAGTGGCAGTAGCACCGATGAGGCCGCCGGACGAGCTCTTGCTTTTCTCGCCAATTCACCACGAGGCTTGTGGTGGCAGTAGTGGCATTTGTGGTGTACCACGGGACGACAACGGCGTTACTGCTGGCCCGTGTCCGCCTCTCTATCATCCAGCCAGCCTGCTAGTCGGTGCCCGACAAGCGGCTTCCCAACGTCGAACCAACGGCACGGGCGGCAGCGACAGAAACAGCGGCCAGTGCAGACATACGAAGCTGCAGCAGCACCACCAGTATCATCATCGCTAACAGCAGCAGTAACGCCAACAGCTGTGGTGGCGGCGCGAGCCCTTGCTCAGCGGCGGTGGCGGTGGCGGTGGCGGCGGCAACGAATCCTTCGAGGCGGAGGAGAGCTTTCCGTTCCTTGGTTTTATTTGCCCTTTCTCTCTACGGAGGATCTCTTTCTCATAGCTCTTCCCTTCATTTTCCTCTTTGTTTTCCTCCTCCTTGTCCTTTTCCTCTACGAAGCGCCTCCCCCACGTCCTTTGTTGTAGCCTAGAGCTCTTCTTCTCTTGATTGTCTTCGTCCTCAGCAATGACCTTTTCTCCGTCCTTGTCGTCGCATGTCGCAGGCCTCTCTGGCCGGAAGGCGTTTTTTGTCCGTCTCTCCGCCTAGTCCAAAAGCTAAGATCTTTTGCGCCACGAACGCAAATCGAACGCCTACGCGAAAGACCTCGCTAAGCTTACAATTATGCTACAAAACAGTCTCCTTACGAAGGCACGGGTTACCTGTGCAAGTGTAGCTGTTAAGCGCAGGTCGCTGCTTGGCCTTGTAGCTAAGATCAAAGTTTGGTCTTGCCAGTAGCAGTAGTACGAGTGAAGGAGTTGTTTCGGGGAAAGGGATAAACCGCGGAGAAGGAAAAGGCGAGGGGTGGCCAATACAAGGTCTTTCCGCTTTCTGGCTGTTGCTACCGTCGCCGTTCGCGCACGTTCCAAAACAGTTCCATGCTGCTGTTCAGCACCCGCGATTAGGTGCGCGCGGGTCGACACCATTAGTTACTACCACGCCATTTTGTTCCACGGCAGCGTGACCGGTATAGGAAAACTGAAGCGGCAGCAGAAGTAATAAAACGAATTGAATTGAAGTTTTACAGGCTAACTTAGCGTTCTGTGTAGCCAAACTGCGACGGATGCTGCCGAGAAGTGGCTGGGATGTGGCTTCATTCGATATTGATAGGTTCGAATACATAACTAGAAAACGACTACGTTTAGAAACTTTTAGATACTGTATAGTATACAGTCGTACGCTGATTAAAGACAAATGTATATAAAGAAAAACTATCGCGAGTACAGGAGAGACGAAAGGCTCAAACAGGATACACAGCTCTTTGAACAAATGGATCTACTTCACCTTACCGAACTAATTTTCAGTGCATTTCGACAGAACAGGTATCTTTTATGGTATCTGTATATCTCCTATTGCATTTCGATGCACTTAGTCTGTGTATAGCCTCAAGAGGACAATTCGATAACTGAGCTTCAGCAGCGAGAAACTTCGATAGCCATGTTTAAGATTTGTTCAAAGATATATCAACATAGGTTGTTCAATGCGAGCAGCTTGTAAGGTCTGAGCGGGCAAAAATATTATCATATTGATGGCCTTTTCATTGCTCAAACTTCCCTCGGTGTTTTTTATGCTTAGAATCGGAACTACGCTTTGTCTGCGTCCGATCAGATAATAAGCAAATGAGTTCTCACTGCGTGTTCGGAAAGCAATTGTTTTTATATGATTCATCTCGTCTATTGTTTCATAAGCAGGTTTATATAGATGTAAAAACTGGAACTTTTTATATTACTGCTTTGATTGTTTCGAGAGTTAGGCTTTGCAAATGCTATTAGAATTAGACCCATTTCTACTAGCTGTACATGTTCTGAGACATTTGAGCCATTCGTGGTCATTCCTAGTAACAACAACTTATTTAATGCAAATTGGGTTTCACGAACGTCGCTCGAAGTACTGTATGCTGTTTATTTTTTAGATGTAAACAGTGCTTCTCAGGCAACAGGCTCCATGCCCAGCGGGTATGGCCATCTTTCACGAAATAGGTATTGTTTCATAGCATAATCCATGTCCTGAACATCCCAAGACGTTCCCGAAATTTCCTCATACTCAATTCAGCACGACTTTGCTCGTAGATAAGCATAGCTTACTTATCTTTCACAGAATAGAAGTGTTATTATCAGCGTGTTTATCTCAGTTGTATAATAGAAAATCTGTTAATTGCTATCGTAACAGAGTAAATAGGGCGTCGGATAGACAGCAATATTATCGTCTAGGAGTCGCAAACGATTACAATCAAGGTGGGGTTTCTGTTACATCTTATCATGAGGCGAAAGGATTGGTACAAAATATAGGAAACAAAATAACAAATTACGCAAAGAGACCTAAAATATTATGATGTTGTTTTGTATCAGTAGCATTGAGGTATATGATGTCTTCACAAGGGTTATTTTAGCTTTGATTGTGACCTCAAGTAGTTCGTTTTCTTAACTACTAGTGTCATGACAATCCGAGCCAGACAGAAAATCATTCGAACGAACATAAGAAATGCATCATTAAATAAGCCCGCTGTTTTCCATCATCGAATGGAAATGTCAATGTTCTTGCTGCGAGAACCCTTCTCGATTATTCGAGCTTCGTTAAAGACTATTATTGTATTCTAATTGGGAACTTTATTTCGATAATGGACTATGGTGCTAACAGTGGAGGAATCGAAGTCCGTGAAGCTACACAACGAAAAAAATTATGATTGGTAGGGATGAACACATTAAAGATACTTTATATACAACCTTTCGTTAGAAATAGTGCCATATTATAAGTAGGATCTCTCAAAAACAATGTACTCATCAGGAAAAAATATCTAAGGATCAAATAGATAATAACAGTAACAATATGCAAGATTACAAACATTGATAGCCTGATTAAACTTAGTCCAGCTTGGTCTTTAGTGAGTTTATTGAAAAATTAGAGTCATAAAATTAAATTGGTATGAGCTTATTATGGAGAAGCCTTTTATTCGATCTTGGTGGGAGAAGTATAAGATAATAGAAATATAAGACGAATCAAGACCCGTAACGGGTTGCTCCATAAGCATAACAAGAACCAAAATGGTGGACGTATCAATCGAAAGAGACTTTCCGAAGCAGCGTTTGCTTTAATGAGTGGACACCAGCTCAGTGCCGATCGCAGTTTACGTTTTCAAACTGTCTGTGTTATAAAAAAATTGCACCAACGCCTTTTTTAGTTTGAGTTTTATTATCGTTCTCGGGTAGTTTTTAACAGGAAAAAGACACCTTCGAATCAAAACTGAGGAAGCAAACTTGAATTCAACTTTATCTAGTGACAAGCGATTGAATCACTGTTATTTTTAGAGTAGACTTATGCTGCTTGTGTTTCTAAACTTTTGAAAAGGTTAGAATTTGTGAAAAAAGGAGCTTTTGAAATATGTTCGACGCAGTTCCCGTTCCGTACAGCGGCCCAAGCTAAACATGCCCCAAATATTTGGCTTAATATCTGTGATTGGTAACCTCGCCGGAAAATTTGTTATCTATTGACTCAGCTGTAGCACTCAAGGAATCACCCCTAACGGCATCAGCACTCTACATGTGGTTTTCGTTCAAACGAGTTTTATGGATCTAGCTCTTTTCGAAGTTCGGCAATCATTTGTAGCAGATGTTAAGAGGTTCAACAACTTCGAATCAAGTGTTAAACTAACTGCGATATGAGTATCACAATCTGAATCTAGTGTCAGGTAGTGAAGAACATATTTTTTCACCTTCCACTTTGACCGTTATTCAGTCTTCACGGCCATTATTACCCGAGCTTTGAAGCCCGAAAGTTATGTAATCTTCATAATAATGTAGCTGCCGCCCTTGAGTCCCTTGCAGAATCATTTCAATTTAAGTATAACTCACATAAGGTACATTTGGCGACCCTGTAGACTTTCCAGTTAGGTAGGTGCATTTCTATTGCCAAGTCAAATTGAGGATAAAATAGCCTTCGTTACGTTAAAAGCTGTGAATGAAAATTCATAGAGAGTGCGACAAAAGTCACTTGGTAGTTATGAATGTAGATGTCAGTTTTATATGCTCATTTCATAAACATTGTTAATCAATGTTTATGAAATGAGCATCTAAATAATAATGTTTAATGCAAAGCTTCAAATTTTTTGTGATAAAACAACACAATAGGGTGTTATGTTGAAGTCTTGTGAGATTCGAAGTTTGTTCAAAGCTACTAGAACGCCTTTGCTGACGTAACTAGAGGAATAACTTGTGCACCTAGGTCATATTATATTTAATTTCATACATTGCTATGCTCTGTCTGTAGCAACTCATAAAGTTACATCCGCCCAGTATCTTTAAATCATTCACATATAGTATGGACGATTCGCCGTCAGGACCATTGCGTTTAGTGCGAAATTCGTTAAAAATTATGATTTTCTTTCGAGTGGTATGCTAAGAAATGAGTGCAATGGCACCGCGCAACGTGTACAGCCTCGTCTGATCCATACATCTAAACCGACCAGGAAACTAAAAGAAAGGCCCAGCAAAAAGGTTTACCGAGGTAGAAAGAGTGATCCGTTAGCCTCCCAGACGTCCAATGACGACCATAGCTAGCCGTAAGCATACGCCTACGCGCATCATTATCCTTACGCTGAAGTGGCTTCGGTAATAAGCGCTGTTCTAAGGCGAGGATGTATTGGATTAACCGTTTGAAATAATGGCAAAGAAGTTGTCTGTATGCGTTATGTTTAACTCTACATTACCTAATGGAGAAAAACTTGTATATAGATCTTATCGTGTAAACATGAGAGGTAATTGGTAAATTTTAACGTAGGTCCCAGACAACGCATGAACGTCTTTACACAGACATAATATAGAATGAAACGTGTGATCAAGAGAAATACCGACAACGAAAGAAAACGGTAACATTATCATTAAGATACCTAACGTACCAATTGAGTACCAATAACTACTTGGTGACTGAGCTCGAAATGCTACCTATTCTATCTACCTCCATATTCAGTTGATATTAATTGGTATCAATCGAAGCAAGTGGGACAGATAATTAACAAAATCATCATTTTGGAACATTATCGAACCTCTGTTGTAACCCAGGGCTTCTTCGACCGGTGGTCAAGTGCGGAGACGGGACCGCCAGTGAACACAATAATGACGGTAACTCAACGTAGTCGTTAAGGCGCCTTTAATCTGCATTTCCTATTACATTCGGCTTACAAGTAGGTCTGCTTCTACATCCTTATTGAGACCTGGGCAACGAAGCTGCGCGTGAATTCACTTTGTGGATCGCATCTCAAACGACCAAGTCTTAACCTGCTTGTTTTTTTATAATCGACATTTTAATCAAGTTAATGTGATAGAGTCTGAAGACAACGCTGTTGTACTCAGCAGTACTTGCCTCAATTTAATCGCTTGCTATGCATGTAATTCCCCAACAGGAGAACGCACCTGTTCTTATTGAAAAAATAGCCCAATATTTCTATCCTATAAATAGAACAACTCCTTTTTTTTAACTAACAGGAGATCTCAGCCGGACAGTATAAAATCTCTTAAGAAAATGCTTAGCAATTACGGATACTTAGCAGCACATGACCTATTGGTGCAGGTGTAGAGTAGCGATTTCATTCGTCCGTAGATCCCCAAAAATTCTGCATATAAATACCAATCATTGCCGTACGGCATGACCTATTGTAATTCGCAGAG